TTAGTTTACCAGTAACTTCTAAATATAAAATTCCTAATTATCACCTTTAAATAACTAAACACAATTATCTCTATCTACTATGAATGTTACCTTTGTCTTTAATTTTAGATTTTATATTCCTACATAAACATAATCTTAACAACATAATTTTTCCTTTTCATCTTTATTTACATATTTTTCTTACGTTCTTCTGGAATTTTTTTTTTTGTATTAGAATACAGTTTGACACATCTCCTTGTTGTCCCACCGGTCACAGACTGAAGGTTGTAAAGGGCCGGTCTCCTCCGCTCTCCAACACCATTGTCACAACGACAAGATTGTCATTGTGCATCAAAACTCTTTTATAACTATTCAAATATATCTTTTTATCACGCGTTATAACAATAAATCCACAAAAATTCTTTATGCAAAATACATGTACAACAAAATCCAAAAGAAATCTTTATGCAAATTAATTCTACAACAGACTCGTATTTTACGAATGCGAATAACACAATTATTAGATTCGAAAATTCGAATAAGGAAAATTCGAATCGAATAAGGAAAATTCGAATCGAATAAGGAAAATTCGAATCGAATAAGGAAAATTCGAATCGAATAAGGAAAATATATTATTCGTCGTATAATTTTTTATCTATTATTCGATCGAATTATTCGATTAAAATAATAATATTGAAAAATAATCATATATTAGTAGGAATTATTTGCAATTATTCCTATTTAATAAAATTTCCTAGTGGAATAATGAAGAAACATTTTATATTTCAAAAATTGTTGTTAATGGCTGTTATTATTTAAAACTTCATAATATAAAATTAACATCAGAAAATTGTTTTATGATGGACGAAGAAAGTATTTATATTTATATGCAATTTATAACATATATATAATTAAAATAAACTAGTAGCCATCCTGTCAAGAATGACGGGCGAACCAGATATTTCTCCGTCGTTTGATGATGGAGAAATCATAAATTTTACTTTTTGCAAAAACTTTTTGTTTAAAAAATTTGTTGTTAGTATATTTGTCTTCTACATGATTGAATATTATATTGATTTTACTACACTATATATAAAAATACTATATATATATATATATGCTTCTATATTATCTTACTAATAAAATTTGTTTGTCTTTTATCCATAGTTAAATTTTACAAAATAAATTTAATATTCTATCTTTTTTAATTTATGTTTAAATAAAATTTTCGAATTGAATCGAATAATTATTTTATTATTCGTACGAATACGAATAATGAATTATTCGATTTAAAGGAATACGAATAATGAATTATTTGATTTAAAGGAATACGAATAAATCCATTATTCGATTCGGAATTTAGTATCGAATACGAATAAAGCAATTATTCGATTCGATTGGTATTTTTGTAGGTATAACCAAAAAGGACATTTTAATTTTTAATATCCAAAAAAGTTCATAAGAACAATTTTTATTAATATTACTTAAATGATTTTAAATTTTTTTAACCGCCCGCCAATTGTTTAAATTTCTTAACCCACTCATATTTGAAATTTTTTTAACACGCCCGCCTGCCCGTTCTTAAAAATTTCTTGCCAGCCCCCTTAGATGGGGGGCGGGCCGAAACCCTGCAATGCAGACCTCTACTATAAACACTTACCTATAAATATATACATTTTTAAAATATTTAATCGTTTATTCTCAAAAAAGTTTTAGTAAATTTGTTTTCAACCTAGTAGTCCCAAACCCGTGGTTAGTCGAATCATCGATGGGATTAGTCGAATCAAGTCATTTATTAGGGTTCCTATGAGGCATAAAAATATTTTACTCAAATTATCATATATGCTTTATATAGTATCCTATTTACAATTGTAACAAATAAAATAGCAATGGCACAGGACCCATGCACCCAACATTTACATACTCTGTATTAAAACCAATCTTCAAAATTATGAAATTTTTTTTTTAGTAATATTTCAACAATGTGTATTTTTGATTTTTTTATTCTGCTGTTTTTATAGAAGCTGTTTCTTGAATGGCGATGAGATAATCTCAGCTATAATTTTTTTAAATCCCTTTATAACAGATAAACCATAAAAAGTTTTACTTCATGAATTAGATATTCAACCATTTTATTCTCCTCCTCATCATTAAATATTTTCTGTGTATTATCTTGACCTATCTTAGGCATAGTGCCAGTATTTTTTTCCCAAATATGGATATCAATTTTAATTTATAATCGTTACTGGGTTTAAAATAAAATCCACTGAGCTGATTAGCCCTGGTGTCCCCTATTTTGCTGATAATTCCTTGCTGTATTCGTCGATCTATCGCGTATTTATATTCGTTTTTATAGGCATATGGAATTTGTCGGGGTCTGGAAAAATTATTCTCTGGTACGTTGGTCCTCAATTGTAGATTCGCTTTGAAGTTTTTTAGGGTACCAAGCGTATTTTCGAATAATTTTGGGAACTCTTTACCAATTGCACTCACCTATTTCATTTGCCTCGTCAATGCATTGTCATAGTAATCTAAATTATAATATCGCGTCCTATATTTTTACCAGTTCGTGATATATGGAAAATTTGCGGTTGAATTGAATTGGCTATTTCAATAACTAAATCTGTTTTTCCCTAAAATCCCTATGGAATTCTCCGAATATGATTTTAGACGAATAGATTTGGATTATAGTATTAGTTTTTATAGTCAAGTTTCTTTAGAGAATATCAATTAGTTCTATCAAAAATTTCTCCTCTGGCTTAGTAGGGGCCCAGATATAATACATTATTAAATAGGCTGTGACCCAGGATAGTTAGAAATAGGGATCTTTTTTGTATCTTCTCGGTAATGTTTACGGCTATACAGAAATTTTTAAACCAAGATAATTACGTTTCAAAATCTTCCCTCTCTTGTAGTGCCATTAGAACATTTGTATTTCTCTTCATTTTTTAACTCGCAGCGTCAATTCGTCATGTTAAGATTTAGAAATAATAGAATTTGAATTAGAAGTAAAACAATGACTTTATTTTAAATACTGGTTTTCTTTTATAGCCAAAACTTAATAAGTTTATTTCTTATACAAAGTGATAAAAAAGTATATTCAAATTATAAAAACTAACAATGTTAAGATATTATTTAAGAAATATGATTAAAAAACTATTCAAATTATAAGGAATATGTACAATAATAAAACTTAGAACTTAATATAATAAATATGATATTCAAATAACGATAAGTTTTCAAATATAACACTTATCTCAAATTTAATTAATAATAAATTTTACTGAGAAAAATTAGAAAAAATAATTTTATAGGGGCAACCTGTATTAAGGTATGTTTATTTTAAGTATGATATGATTTTTACTCTAGTTTATCATTTATAGTGTTTGTTCCCACTTCAGTGTTTTAATCAGCAACTATATTTACCTTTGATTTTTATACTGTAGGTATTTTCTGGGTTATCGCCCCAATATCATTGTAGTTATATATTTTTAGTTAAATACCCTCTAACTCTAACCTATACTTTAATTCTTACATATTGTTTCTTCCAGACCTCGTATCAACTCTTGAACTTACTACTATATATAGGGTTGAATCTCTGAACTTTAAATAACAACCACATTTACATATATTTATTTCCCGATCTTTAGTTTGTGCCCCACTCTTTATATTTCCAGCAAAATAGGGGATATACTATATTATGTATAAATGATTATACTATTTACTAGCAGATAGTCAAGAGTGACGAGTGAATATGATAATTATCCTTTATTTGATGATGAGTACTTCCGAAATTTTAGTTTAATGAAGTATGAATCAGAAATTTAGCTTTATTTTGATAAAGTGATTCCAAAATTTCCCATTATTTTGATAAATGTTTTAAGAAGTATATAATTAGGAAATCTTCAATATGAACAAATAATTGCAATGTATTTATAAATATACTATTTGTAATATCTCAAAAGATTTTCTTTATGTGTCCTGGAATATGGACTTCATGGGGATCTCTCAATTTTATATTATTTGTTGAGAAAGATTTTTAAAATCTGATTATACTGGAAACATATTCCAACATGTGTAGAATAGCTACCCTATAAATATCACATAACCCCTTAAAATTTTATATGAAAGATTGATATAAATTAAGAATATTTTTAAAATTGCAAAATTATCTAAAATTCAGTGTAGGTACACTATACATTTTGTAATATATTTATGGTCAAATCAGGATTTCCAAATTTTAAAATCGCGCACATTCAGAATCTCAACGAATTCCATATTCCAATATGATGTGTGCCTAATAATAAATCTTTAACTACGTTTTTATACATTCGCTGTAATTTATGATATAAAAAAATTTAATTTTGTTTCTGCATGGCAATAATAACTCATCAAAATAAAGGTAAATTTTTGATTCATACCTAATTTAAAAGACAAATTTCTGATTCACCCGTTATTCCCTATGAACTATCTGCTAGTTTTAATATAATAGGCAAACAATTCTTTTTGAATTTATAATAATAAAGAGGTTTTCAGGTAAAATAAAAATTACTTATTATACAATTTTCTACAAAAAAAAATCTAGGAAATTGGTTAAGTAAACAAAGTATACTATACACTTTACTGATAATGTATATTTTAATTAAAATGTAATAACCTAGTATAAATTATTTATCTTTTATGCGCAGAGTATATATTATATATATAACTGTTTTTCTCTAATAATTTACTTTAGTTCATTAAATATTAATGAGAATCCCAAATAGGCAGTTATAAAAGCCATATATTTTTGATAATATAATCGTATTATATAGTTTGTTTTGAACTTTCCCTGTATTAAATTAGCACGATAAATTCAATTTTTAAGGTGATTTCGACACTATAATTATGTTTTTTATTCGTTATTGGAATATATTAGTTTTGTTTAAAAAAAATTGATAATATTTATTAACATAAAATGTAAAGTATTTTATCTATATAAATGATAAAAAAACAAATAATGACAAAAACATCGACTATAATGATCACTCCATTCTAGCTGTTAGATATCAATAATGAAATACAATAAAATAATAAGATTATATATCACAGAGAAATTTTTTTTTTGAAGATACTCGAAATTAAAAATAATCCTTTCCCTTTTAACAATCAATATAATATAGTGATTTTTAAGACTAATCCGATATATAATTGGCAGGTTTTCACAAACATTAATCAGAATGTGCCAATAAAATAGGATAATGAAAACTCAATGAATGATTAAAATTTAATATGGACCCTTAAAAAGTTTCTTTTTATTTCTTAAAAGGTTTATGGGCAAAACATCCATTCTTTTAATGAATAAAGAAAACCCGCAAAAAATTATTATATACAAAATAATTTGTTTTTTAAATAAATTAAAAAAAATAAATATATAATTGACACGAGGAATTGAAAAATAATTTAGTATCAAATTTTTGCATATTCAATATCGATATTATGGGAGGGGAAGGGGATGTTTATTTCATTTGTTGAAATAAAAAGCTTTAAAAAAAATAATTCGGAAATTTTGCTTCGATACATTTCACCTCAGGGTAGTGTCATTATTTATTTTTAAGTGGGGCGGGTGGAAGGGGGCTTACTAAATATGTAAGGCAGACTGATTTATAGTTTTGACATTCTTTAACGTTATCCTGCAAGAGTTTCGGAGTAAACAGATTAGGCTTCGCCCAAAGCTCAATTTACATTTCGTAAACAAGAATGTGCTAAAATATATTGCCCAAACAAACAACTTATACAAAAATTAAATGAACTATGGGGCATAGACATACATAATTTACAAATTTCTGGTTAGTAGTGGTATATCTTATATATGGGAGTGAGAAGTGTGTAAAAAAAATATAAGTATAAGGTAAATGTTGAAATAGGGGTTTTTTTTCTTATTAAAAATATCGCTTTTCGCGTCAAAATCTTCTATTTTATGATAAATCAAAAAAAAGAAGAAATAGTAATATGAAAAATATAGTAGTATACAAATGAGCAAGGGATATTTTTTTTTGCAAATATTTTATATAAATTTAAATATATATTATAGATTTTTTAATCGTTAAACTAATAGTGAAATTAAAACGAAATATCATCTTTTTAAATTGCAAATATAATATTTTTTAAAAAATCCTATATAATTTTTTTTTGTGTTTGCGAAAAAAAAATGAAAAATGCAATTATAATGAACAAATCTATTTTTCCTTAAAATACTGTTTAATCAATCCACGGGGTGTTCTGGACAAGAACGACTCTTGGTAAACCATTTATCTATGCATCTGCAAAATTAAAATAATAAAACGGGGTAAGAAAAGTAAATAATTAATTTGAAACCGCCTAAATAATGATAATTAATTTAAGATGAGAATACAAATCTAATGCGTGTCCTTTAAATGTAAAATGCTGCTTTTTTTAACGCTGCGAGAATGGCTATATTTGTATTTAAATAAGGACTGATTTATAGGAGTGTGCAGATATCAAAATGACTTGTTTATAAATGTGTTTATATTAGAATTGGCACAAGATTAGCAGCTAATTTTCTATGTATAAAGTATAAACATATTGGAATATCGGTATAGTATTAAAACTTATTATAAAACATAATTATTATAAGGAGGCGTCAGAATTGACATATCAAAAATTTTTTCTGGATCGGATCGGCAAAAAAAAACGATCCACAACATGGCTCATTTAATTTGCCGAACTTTTCCTTAACATATTTTTGTTTGATAAATTATTTTAAAATGCATTAAAAATTTAATGCTTATCTTGTGGCAATTCCAAGATAGGCATATTTAAATCATCTCATTTTATTATCGGCACAGCTCTAAAAAAAATGATATGAATCTCGTGTCTAAAGGAGTAAATAATGTCCACAATTTGGATGAAAAACTAATCCAGAATTCTCACGTAATGATTAAGAATCTCTCAATTTTAAACCCTTTCTCTCTTAATTCAAGCATTTATAGAGAAGTCTGGATAAATTTCTAAAAAGTTTTACAGCCCAGCCCGTAAATTTTTATTATGAAGGTAAAAGATATAAAAGCAAGCTTTAAATTTTTGACAAAATTCGGATACGACCCACAAAAATATTTAGTATGAACTATCTGGCCCAGCTCGAAAATTGTTTTTGCTCGTCAAGTATGGAGTAATCTATCCCATTCATTTCAGAAAATTTCGCCATATATATATATTTTTTTCAAATTTATATGAAAAATCGATAATTTAAAAACAAAAAAATTAAATTAAGATTTGCTCTTAAAGTTCAAGGCAAAAATTTTCTGAAATTTATAAAATTCATTTCCGATACAAATTTTTTAATATTAAAAATCGCCCGGTAAATGGATTAAAATGGAAAGATTCCGAATCACCATGAGATGATTCTTGATTAGTCCTTATTTCAGATAAACCTACCTTATAGGGATTGGGGCAGCACGGCCCGTAAGGATGGGGCAATTTTTTTTTTGAGATGGGCCAGACGAATTGTGCAAAATATGCTAGGGTGTGGCTGAAGTTTTGAAAGTGTTTTTAAAGCTGATAATTAGGCAAATTTATTTCGTTTTCCTTTATAAAAAATTATTATGGGTGGGGCAACTTGCACAAAATATCTTTAACAGGTCGCGTAAAAGTAATGACGGGTCGGAATAAAAACCCAGATAGAAAATTCCAAGGACCGGTTCGAGCGCCCGCGCCTACCTCATGTGTTATATTTATATTAAATAATGGTATACTCTTTGTGATAAATGCATAGGCAAGGTAATCGAGCGATATCGTGCCCTATGGACATATCTTCCAAGCATATGGTACATTCGCCTTTGTCATCTTTGAGAGTTTCACCTGGGGGGGGGGAATTTTATTTATGTTTTTTGGAGAAATTATTTTTACTTCTAATTACATCTTTATAAGAGATAAGTATAAAATATAATAGAAACAATACCGCATCAACAGGATTTTTTTAAAAAAATAAATAAATTCGGCGCCAAGTATAATAATTAAATTATTAAAAATGTTACTATGATATCTTAAAATAGATTATGGGCTCACTCAAGGAAATTGCTGTTACCTAGGTGGCTTTATTTAAATTTTTAATTCGTTCATTTATAATAATAAAAGGGACTAAATTTTATTAAAAATCAGTCTCCTAACCCATATCTCTCAAACATTTAAAGGGCGGGAGTGAACGTGTGTTTATTCCTATTATTCCTTACTTCAGATACTTGTTTAATTTTAAATAAATTTCATCCAATTAATAAATTTCCTTTAGTTGAACATTCCTTGAGTTAAGCGACTATAAGGATATACATAGATAAGTGTTGCCCTGCATTCACAGTTAGCGCAAATTCGCGGCGAAATATATAAAATCATCATACTGTGGGTGCATTTGGTATACTTCGCCGCGAATTCACTCTGTGAATGAGGGGTTATGGACTGATAAGAACGCTGTTATTTATCCATTTTTAGAAATATTTATTTAAAAGTATCTTATATTATATAAAATTATAGAATTTCTGAGTGATTGACGATATGATGTATATTAGCAGAGTTGTTAAAGGATCTAGATCCTGTATCTAGATATAAAAATAAGGTATCTGTATCTAGATAGATTTTTGATCAAATAATCTGTATCTAGATATTATTTTAAACGTTGTATCTGTATCTAGATCCATTTAAAAAGTATCTTTTAACAACTCTGATAAATAGCATACAGAAAAACCCATTTTAATTAATTCCAACTTTTTAAGTGTATGTATCAGAATTTTGATATTCATTTTTTGTTCAAATTCAATCTTATTTTAAAAAAGCGAAGAGATAAAAATAAATATACCGTTGTAATTGATTCGAGGTTTGGTTAGGCATAGGATGAGATGATATTCGATGTCGTCGGACGGGAGTTTTCGAGTGCAAATGGGACATTTTAAATCTTAAAAAAAATGATTCAAATAATTTGTTTTGTTTTAAAAAGAAAAGATGACATTTAATAATAACCTAGAGAGACGATTCATTTTTTAAAAATATGCATATTCAATTATTAAAAATTACAAAATTAATAAAATAGGAGAAAAATTTCCCTATAAATATATCCACGAAATAAAATCTTATAAATTTAAAAATTTTGAGAAAATCAGTTCCGAGGAATTATTTTGTAAAAATTATTATTGGGGATTTTTTTTTCCGGGGAATTATTTTCCGTTTACCATATTCAATGGTGGGTTTCAATGTATAGAACTTTCTAACTATAAAGAATCCTTAATCAAGATTAGTAAAATAAAAAAGAATTGATTATATAAATGCTATTATATTATATATAAATAGGGGCCAAGTCTAATATGTTGTCGATATCAATATTTATGAGGGCCGAAGCGGAAAAACAAATAAATAAAAACCAGTGGCCCAAATTAACAAGAGAAGGCATAATAAACAAAACGTATTTTAAGGTAGGGCAAAGGTTTATGATATGTAGGATTGACGAAAATAAATGGCATACTGAAGAAGTGACTCTGGCCAATGTCATTAACAATAATGGTCATCTCAAACACAAAAAAAATAAGTGTTTTAAAAAAAGAAAGCTAATTAAATAAAGTTGATAGAAGTTTATAATAAACTTGGGGAATTTTGAAGAAATCTTGTAGGAATAATACATATATGTTATATAGGATATGAAGACAATAAACAGTATTTATTTATTTAAAATTTATATTTTACATTCATCAATACTAAAACATCATAATATTAAATACATTACGATATCAATGGACATAATTGAGGGGATGTGAAACTAGGTATATAGAATTTAAAGAAAGTATTTATTATTTTATTAACGCATGCAGGGGTCGTACTATTACTAACCAAGTGATTATCTTTTTTTATTTTAAAACCATTTCGAGTTTTTAACAGGGTTTAACATTTGCTCAAAATTTAAAAGTTTTCAAAGATCTTGCTCTTTTGAATATCAAAAAATGTGAAGATGTTTTTATAAAAAAAAATGAGCATGCTCAAAGAAGATTTTTGAGTAAAATAAAGTTTAAAAAAATATCAAAGGGAAAATTCATAGAAGATTTTACATTTTTTATTTTGCTCAAAAATCTTCTTTGAGCATGCTCAAAATTTTGGGCGCTTATAGTTCGACCATTTAAACTCAATCCTATCATTTCTTCCATTTTTTAGATACGCGAAAATAAGAATAAATTAATGTCAAAAAAATCCTTTAAGTTTATATTTTATAAGAAATTTGAGTTTTTTAAAAAAATTCATTTTTCGTAGTGTTTACGATAACCTGGGATTTTTGAAATTGTTTGTTAATTATTGTTCATATTCATCATGCCCCCATTTTATTTGAAATGATAGATATTGCAATTATTAAAGCATGGGTAATATTATATAAACAATTTCTCATATGATGAAAATTTTGAAATTATTGACATTAGTCGTCATTTTTATGATAGTTCAGTATTAATGAAACATTTTGCCGATATATTAAAATATCTGTTCCTTCCAACAACTTCCTTTTATGCGGGATTCTGCTAAATTAGCCAATATTTTAATTGAACTATTTTATAACTAAATTGGCAATCGTTAAATATTACCAATATTATTTGCTTTAAATAAATAGAAGGCAGGGCAACAAAATTTCTTCTTCAACCAAATAATTCTATTTTTAAGTCGATATACTGTAGTGTTTCTGAATTTTGATAAAATTTAAGAGGCAAAAAAAATGTCGATATAAATTAACGCGTGAAAAAAATAGTAAAAACACTACATAGCTATTTGATTCTTGTATTGTTATCATTTTTAATAGAAAATTAATATATAAGAATTATGGGGAAATTTCCCTTGAAAAATTTTATAATTTTTTTTACAGGAAATTTGCTTTTAAAAAAAAATTAGATATAACATGTTATAACAATTGATTTGGACGCGTAAATTTTAATAGGCAAAGATTTAACAAAAGATTAAAATAAATTTTATTGTGGTTACAATCAATACGAGAATAATAATTCTTCTTACATACATTGATTGTTTTAATTAATTTTCTTATTATTAGCCATAGATTATAATCTTGAGCAATTAAATCGATATTACAGATAGCAATTGTAAAAATAAAATGTTATTTTTCAAGGAGGTATATTTTCGGATAAATTTATTTAATTTCGATGTTTTCAATGAGGAAGTGCGGGAACTCGATGCCGGATATCTCACCTGGCCAGTTTTATGAAAAATTTTAAAATGAAGAAACAAACCATATCGTCGGCTGAGTATTATATTGTTCTATATCCATTTTTTAAAATATTTTTTCAGGAGAGAAATTTATAAAAATAAATATATCTTGCATTTAAGTAGATAGGAGGCCAGACCATAAGAATGCAAGTAATGATTATTCTAGTTATATTTTACCATTTTTATTGTAATATGGAAGAATACAGTACTGAAGGATTGGTTTATAGAAAAAGAAAAAAGAGTAGATAACCGACGATATATTGCTAACCCTCTCTATATAAGTATAAACACTATGGCCCCTCTCTTGGGGTAAAAAAATCACCTCGCTATGTATATCGAAGGCGACTTGTCATAGATACTGAAATGAGCGATTTTGCATTACTACATTAGGCTATAAATTTATAAACCGATTTTTAAAAAAAAAACAAAAGACTGTTAAAACATGGTTTCCTATTTATTTTAATTTTTCATAAATTAATTATAAAATGATAAATAAAATAAATAACCAAGATTTTTCGTTTAAAAAGAAAACAATACAGCAAATAAAACGTTAGATGGTTGTATAAGGCTATAAAAAGATGTAAACGAGCTCATCAAATTAAATAACAATAAATAAAAAACCACTCTAGATTTTTTTCTTCTCTTGATATTTCAACAATCCCCAATGAATTCCTCAAACCATGTTTTCCATTAATCGTACAAATATCCAAAGGAAGAAAAGTTTTCGATTTTTTTTATAATCATCGAGCTGAATTTATATTTTATAACAATTTAACTTAAAGTCTCATACCCCCCCCCCCCCCCACTTAAAGCTATTAAAATGTATTGTAATTCTTATGTATAGGCTGTGATCTTTGTCCTCCTCCCTTGAACCCAACATCCAATACGTTTAAATAGTAGTTAGCCTCTTATGCGTGCAAGTAGGTGTGACTTGCTCATAAACGTGTAGGAAGTCCTTATATTATAAATTCCCACATTTTAAAATTGACTCAAAATGTTTTCAAACTTAAACTTTTTGGCTGCCGAGTTTTATTGATAATTAATATTAACTTTATCTATGATCTATTTCTATCTAAATTTGTTAGTCATTATTTATTTTAATATAGCAAGTATATTTAAATGGGTCATAATGAATCGTGCTTTTATTTTAATTACACCTTCCTATAAAAAAAAGTCCCTATGTACATTATCCGCGAAATTTAATCAAGGGTTATAAAATATTAATTATATTGAGAGCGTAAAAAACAATTTTTGATCTAATTTTCAAAACATGTTTTTTTCAAAAAAAAAATGAAAGATTTCAAAAACCCAAAATAGCACAAATATTGTCATTAATATTATGAGTATGACGCAAACAGGTTATATTTTCTTTTAGATTATTATCCTGTAATATATATTAAGCAAGTTTGAGTATTGGGAAAAATAATATTTGATAAAACAAAAAATAATAATATTAATTTGATCGCTATATTAGGTTGTGTCCAAAATATCAAAAATTTAAATTCTCAAATTTTCGAAACTTTAATAAAAATAACTAAATGAGCTATTTTTTAAATATAAAAACATGTCCAAAACATAATTTTAGAAAATCATCTTAACATATGATTTCATTAAAATTTTAATATTTACAAAAAAAGATTTTGGACATTAGCAATAATAAGTAGCAACCATTGATTAATATAATACACAGATCTGCAAAAATCAATCAGAATTTTCTAACATTTAATTACGTACCGGTTTATATTTTTATAAATTTTTTGCTGTATATTTTATTTTCTAAAAAGGAAACTGAAAATGTGGGCAAGCTTAAATGAGCGTTGACAAGTCGTCAAGTGACTGAATAAGGTCAATTGATCGTAAGTATATTTTATGGGTCAAATACTCTAAATTATATCTCGAACGAGTAGTTATCTAATTTAGATGTATACATTATTAAAAAAATTATTTTCATTTTAAAAAAAATTAACATATACCAAGTGCAGTATTTTTCAGCTACAGAAATCAAGATGCCACATTATCTACTTTAAATAAAATTAGTTTAACGAGGTAGGCGTCTTCAATAAAATGTATACATTTTCCAAAGAGCCTTTAAAGCATCTATCGTTGGTCCAAGATGAATAAGTAAGAAGAACAATTTTGGATTAAAAATTTAGTTTTTGAATATATTTTAGAACAATATATTATTCAACCATGCCAATACCCATTATTTTCCCCATTAGAAGAAAATTATAAATATGCTTGAAATAAGAAAAAATGGATCTAAATATAACTGCTTATTTTGTTGCCTACTTATAAGATCCCCAAAATTAAGGACAATACCCATGATAAATGAGTCCAATGAAACTTGTGATATGATTAAATAAAACAAATTCCCTCGCATTCTTAGGTTAGTAAAATTATCTTATAAAAAAAATTCGGGTGACAGATCAATTTTAAGATTAATTACATAATTTTTTTTAAAATAAATAAATTCAAGGTAACTAATATTCTACAAAGAGTTATTTAATAATTCAATTTTATTCTTTTTTTCACGAGTAATAATTGATTCACGCAGTTTAAGAAGAAAAAAATCATAATTTTTTTGTGTATACAACAAAACACCCAATTAATAAGCCATTTTTTTAAAAAATATAAATTAATTAATTACTATTTTCCGCGTGACAAAAATACATTAATTTCAAATTCTCTCTAGTGCTAGTATCATGT